AACCTGCGGTGATGTAAAATATGAATGAGATGGATGACTTTATGGATGTTATCAGCAGCTTGTCGCCCCAGAATGAAGCCAACCTGATCTTGATGAATAAGTGAGAGTAGATACTTATTAATTCGGGTGCTCAGAATCTTTCCCAGAATCTTCAAGTCCACGTTTAGCAGCGATATCCGTCTGAAAGCTTGCAGTTCAAAAGCATCTTCAGCTTTCTTAGGGATCATAGTAATATGCACCTGAAGAGACTCCAAAGAAACCTGGGAACCCTGTTTAAAAGAATTGAAAAAGGCCGTCAAATGAGGAACCAGAACGGTGGCAAATTTTTTATAATAGAGCCCAGAAAACCCAGTTGGGCCTGGAGCCTTGGAGGCCTTCAAAGATTTGATGGCTTGGTAGAGTTCAGATTCAGAGAATATCCGCATTCAGGGCATCTCGGGCTGTATCGGATAAAGAGGGTAGGTGTAGCTCAGCAAAAAAGCTATCAACATGTTCAGCGACGAAGGTGTTTGGTTTTTGGTAAAGAGAGGAAAAAAAAATCAGCAAATCTATGAGTAATCTTCACAGGGTCCGAGGTAAGGCCACCACCCACCCCGGTTTTTTGGCACTTGTATAAAACCTATGTCCGGCCCAACGTAAGGCCTTCTCAGCTCGTGTTGTGGAGAGAAGATCAAGTTCAGCAGCCACCACATATCAAGCTTTCCTATTGGTTGTAGTCGGGCAGAATTTCCAAGTAGCGTCCACCTTGGCCAATCTCGAGGTCAATTCCAACATCCTCTTCTCTCTGGCCCGTTTCCTGGACGAGGCAATTTGAATCAAATGACCCCTAATGGTGTCTTTGTGAGCCTCCCACAGAGAAACGGCCGAGGATACAGAACCCACATTGTCTGAAAAATAGGATTGAATGTGCGAAAGAACCTGGGAGCAAGAAGCCTGAGTGGTGAGCAGGGATTCATTGAGTCTCCACAGAAAAGAGGGCCGAGCCATACCAGAAAGACACAGTGAAATGTGTCATGTCACATTGGGTCATGATCAGACCAGTGTGAGGTCGAGATGACAATCTTTTGAATTGAAGATAAATGTTGGAAGCAAATGAAACCGTGATCTATTCTACAAAAGCTCAAGTGTGGGGCCGAATAAAAAGTGTATTCCCATGACGTAGGATGCATTTTCCGCCAGACATCAACCAAACCATAAGCTTGCAGCGTAGCACACAATTTAGATTCCTGAGAAAGGTCGTGGCTAGGTGTCGCTCCCGTCGGGTAATGGTGATTGACAGAGGAATTAAGAGCAACATTCGAATGACCCAGCGATAAGAGGATACCACGTTGGTGGTGCGAAATCACCTTCAGCAAGTGAGAAAAAAATTTGTGTTGAAATCTATTTGGCACGTAATAACCCACCAGTGTCACATCCTGATCCCAAAGGGTACCCCAGAGGAGCAAATACCTACTGGTGGGGTCAGCTATTTCCAGGTTACAGGTAAACAGCAGATTGCGTCTTAAAGCGATCACCACGCCCCTATGCTTCTCAAGGGCCGAGGCAGAGAAAAAGGTCGGATAATAGTGGGAGAGGTAGCGCGGTGCGGAGGATTGAGAAAATCTTGTCTCCTGTAGGCAGACTACGTCCACGTCTTGGGACTTAAGATGATGGAACACTTTAGAACTCTCGGTCGGAGAATTAAAACCATGGATATTTTGAGAAAAAATCTTCAAACGTTTTAAAGCCATACTGAGTCAAGGGAATTCAGCTGCCAATGTATGGTAGGAATCTACAAAGGATACTTTTAACTGTTGGAAAAAGCATAGAATGATATATTTGCAGGTTTCAGTGCATGCACATTTTCATCTAAATATAGAGATTGCAATAAAAAGGAAAGTTTATTTTTGCTTTAGTAAAATGTTTACTCTCAGTGCAAAACCTTGGTGCCCAACAAGCATCTCGGGGCTGCATTCGGCCCACTGTGATCCAAACCTCTGCACACTATAGTTATAGTCTCTTCAGTGGGCTTTACACCTGGTACTGCCAGTTGTCAAGAAGAAATAATTTACAAAAAAAAAGCATATTGATACATTTAATAAATTAATATAAAAAACCCTCTACCAATTTATCCTTGGCTTACACCAATTTGTTGGCTATTTTGGGTGAAAAAGTTGTATTTACTTCATAAGCAAGTGCAATGTCATTTAGAATTTAACAGATTTTAGAGCACCCGGATAGATTAAAAGTCCAACTTTTTATGCAGCACACCACAATACAAAGCATGTGCATTGTACTGAGCTGCAGCATAGATGCATTGCCCGCTACTGCAACAATGAGTAGGAGTGTCATTCAAAATGAATGCATTGGTTACCATGCATTCTTGTAACACATGGTAAGTTATACTGTAGGTTTTACTGTACTGAACAACACAAATTTAAGAAACATTTGTTGAGGGAAAAACAAGTTAAGTTGCCCGGCACTGGTCTATATAAACATATCTATATTTATCTATATCTGTCTGTATATTCATATATGTGAATCATTTTCATAGGCACTGGAATCACGTCATTAGTAAAACCTACTGCTATCAAAAACATTTTTATTTAAATAGTTTAAATACAGTGGGGGAGATTTACTAAAACTGGTGCCCACAGAATCCAGTGCAACTGTGCATAGTAACCAATCAGCTTGTTGGTTATATTGTTGTCAAAGCTTAATTGAACAAGCTGAAGTTAGAAGCTGATTGGTTACTATGTACAGCTGCACAAGATTCACTGTGCTCTAGCTTTAATAAAAAAAAAAAAAAATCTCCTTCATTGTTAGAACATTTAAGGTTTTTTATACCATTTTATTGCAGAGGCATATCTAGCCATTGAAAAGCTTGTGTAGCTTGGAAGAACATTATTTCTCACTATAAGGTCAATTCACTAAAGGATAATTCACTAAAGAATTTTGCATGTGATATGAAGGTCACATGACCCATTTTTCAGAAATATTGCATCAGATAAAAGAGTCAACTCATCAAAGAAAATTATCGAATGTGAGGGAAATACCGGACATTTGTTAAAAATGTGAGCTAAAGAGCACAAACATTCGTTATTGATCACCTGCCAGTAGGCAGTTGGTATATGAAACAAAGTACAAAATAACAATGAGGGGAACTCTGAATTGACTAGCAAATTAAAAGTACACAAAGTATCAGTGTGGAAATGTTATGCCCTGAGCTCAGGAAGGAAGATAAATTGTAACGTTTCACCAGAGGGAGACTTTTTTGTGAATGAAAGCACACTAGGATGTTTTCACGGTTTCATAGTATTTCTGTGTCCATTTATTTCTTCCTCTGGTGCAGTATTAGCATGTAAAAAAAAAAAGTGAAAAAACAACACCAAGAATAACACAAAATGTTAATGCATTTGGTAAATAATGCATGTTTCTTTAGTGAATTGACTAATTTTGAGGTAAATACCACATGAGTTATTTTAACTCAAAAATTAATGCGGTATTTATCTGTTAGTGAATTGAACCCAATGAATTATCAGCTAAAATAGGCAAAAAGAGTGATGAAGACAAGGCACAAACAGCTGTGCATAGTTGAGTGTGAGCTGTCACACAGTGGTATCTAGGTTTTTTTTTTTTTAACACAGTGGATTAATCCATTGTCAGTTGGTACATTCCATTAATGTTGCAGGACAATGACCCAAAGCATACTGCAAAAGCAACCAAAGAGTTTTTTAAGGGAAAGAAGTGGAATGTTATGCAATGGCCAAGCCAATCACCTGACCTGAATCCGATTGAGCATGCATTTCATTTGCTGAAGACAAAACTGAAGGGAAAATGCCCCAAGAACAAGCAGGAACTGAAGACAGTTGCAGTAGAGGCCTGGCAGAGCATCACCAGGGATGAAACCCAGCGTCTGGTGATGTCTATGCGTTCCAGACTTAAGGCTGTAATTGACTGCAAAGGATTTGCAACCAAGTATTAAAAAGTGAAAGTTTGATTTATGATTATTATTCTGTCCCGTTACTTTTGGTCCCTTAACAAGTGGGAGGCACATATGCAAACTGTTGTAATTCCTACACCGTTCACCTGATTTGGATGTAAATACCCTCAAATTAAAGCTGACAGTCTGCACAGCACATCTTTTTCATTTCATTTCAAATCCAATGTGGTGGCGTACAGAGCCAAAAATGTTAGAATTGTGTCGATGTCCCAATATTTATGGACCTGACTGTATAACTTGGAATAACAGTCTAGTCTTAGAGCATCATTATGCATTCACCTGATCTTGTCATCGGTGCCATGCCATATAAAATGGAGAGACCCGTGGAAGAAACAGCATTTTTAGTTCAGTTTTCTTGTACTATTTTCATATATTTTTATCTGTATCTGTCATTTCTTCATTAAATGTTATACTTACAGTAAAGCATAATGGATAATGCTCAGATATGCACAAAGGCAGTAACATAAAGGGTAAGAAATTACTGGAGGATGTTAGTCAACAAACTCTCCTTACAGGGTACATTTTGAAAGCTGTTTCTTTACCTCATAGATAGGATGTCCTTAGAATATGAATTAAAAAATTCGTGAAACTGTGTTTCGAAGAGCAGAACTTGCTAGTGATCCCATGAAACTCTTATCCAGTCCTTGCTGTTTTGAGAAAAAAAGTTTGTTATTTTATGGTAAAATGGAGACATCAAACCTGGCAGAAGCAGAGTTCTTTAACAAGCCAATACCTTCTAAAAAGGTTTAGCCATTCACCAAGCTATAACAGAGGTGATTACTGACTTATTGCCCTAGGTTAATGAACTTTGCAAACTGCTCATTAATTTCCGAAATAAGCCAAACAGTGTATTACATTGGGTACATGATACTTTAAACAAAACTGACAGTACAATTAAAACATTTGGGCATTATAGCATGCAAATGAAACACAGGTAAACAGCTAGATAGCTTGCTGTTTGTGGTTTATCAAGAACTAACTGAAGAAGAGAAAAATTACTGAATCACATCTGTTTTATCTATGGTAAGCATGGGACTGTAGAAAATTCCTTCACCTGTTTAAGTATTCCCTGCAACTCTTTTTGGGACCACATATCTGTCAGGAAAAGACGGGCAGCTTCGGCAGCTTTGGGTGAAGCTCTGTAAAACATGCAGGAATGTGATAAGCCTTTTTTTCTTATGTGTACTTAAAACACATGTTGTCTACTGAGCTCAATAGTTGAGGTTCATATAACACACATGACTAAATAAGCCACAGGAGTGACTCATGCCCCCTCCCCCTTTCTGTCTGCTATTAAAAGAAATTCAGTTAAAGAGATAGGGTATGAAATCAAACAGCTTTCTTTTAGATAACCCATAATGTTCAGTGACCACAGTGTCATGGATGAACTCTGTATTAAATATTCATTTTTAAAGTTAAGTTTATATAAACTGTACAAATATATAAACTAGTTTAAAAACCATAAACTTAAAAGATATAATTCACATTGATCCCTTGTATTATAGTCACCCATTAAAATGTGATCTGGTTATGAAACAATCTTTATATCTTTGGAATGCTTATGGACTGTTCAGAGCCTATTGGTAGGTTGCATTCACTTATTCGCACAATCAGCTTCAAGCAAAAAATCCTGTTTTTTTTACATTTCTCTTGCATGTGATTGGGTATTCAAAGTAAACACAGCTTATCCACTTTGCTTAAGTGAATAGTCTATAGTCTCAACCAAAATGTGTAAATGATTTACAAATGGGATAATACACTCTACGAATCCGTCTCAAAAAATGCTTTCTTGGACTGTACCACAGTGTCAAAAGATTTTTTTATAAAGTCCCCCTGACTTCTTTTCTATAGAAAAAAAAATTATTAATAATAATAAGATCTTAGAAACCAGAGTTAATGATTCATGTATTCTTTGAAATACTGAGCTTCTTGAAAGATTAGCTACTCTATCAGTAACTGCTATGGATAGGCTAAAAGAGAAAAACAAATCGTGCTTTTGGGCTAAGCAATAACCCTATGTGCAGCTCAAAAAGAATAGACCTTGTAGCAAACAGACAAATGGGACTCAAGTTGTCATTTATTGAGACCCACAAAACACATGGCAAGTCCTGTGAGTGTCTGTGTTTCTTTTAATATTTATATTCATTCACCTGTGAACACAGATGGCCTATTGACAGCTTTATTAGTAGCCGTACAGCCACCATTTCCATACAGATCCATTGTGTCACAGTTGTGTAAATATGTATATATATATATACATATTTACACAACTGTGACACAATGGATCTGTATGGAAATGGTGGCTGTACGGCTACTAATAAATATATATATATATATATATATATATATATATATATATCAATTTAGAAAATGTTGCACAGTCCATCAATTGACAAGCCAAAAAATTAAATGAGGTAAAAAGACACTTTTGAAGGATAGGAAGGCTAAGAAAGCTAAGAAGCTACTAAATACTTCAGACATATATTCCTTACCCACTCTTACACATATTGACCAAATTTCCCACTAGGTTGGTAGAAAGGTTTTGCTTTGCTAGTTGAGGCTGGGACATAACAAGATTTCTCATGGTGTAACAGGCTGAGGACAAGATATCTTCTGAGTTTGTTGCACTTGTAGAGGTTTGGGACAGGAGGCGAGAAACATCTGGAATCACCTGGGTACCTGATATAAGATGTAAAGTGGCAAAATGAAGGAGCTTCATAAAAGAATGAGTGTTAGAGGACTGAGGTAAACATAGTTGTGTTGCTTACCCATGCTTCTGTGCAGAGAAGGGTGACGAGACATGTTGCTTAGCAGAGATGCTCCTGTTTTTACTACATCCGAATTTCCAGACTGAAGCAATCGTGAAATTTGTGGGAGTCCATTTTCTTTCAAACCAATAATCTGACTCATCCCATTAGACATCTGGAAATAAAAATAAATCTTAAGAAAGGTTTTTACAAGATTACTGTTGTGAAGGCTCTCTGACATTTTACTGGGCCATTCACAGTCTTTACACATAAGGCCTGGGCAATGTTCTGTTTGGCATAAAAATCAGACAGATTGCAAGGTTACTCATAACCATAAGAAAGAAAAGATTTTTCTCAAACTCTGTATCTTACACATAGCATAGCACTGAGTCATTCGCCATTGAAACAGATGTGTGTTGGTATTGTGCTTAGACTGGCAGATCTGTACTGCATATTCAGCAGAGATGTAAACAGACTGTAATTTCCCCTTCTCATTTACAGTTTACAAAAAACACAGTAATTAGGAAAAAACTAATGAGTTTTCATCATGCAGTAATTACATTTAGATTAAATCAGACACATACTTGAAAGCCAGTGAGCAACCCCAAACCAAAAATGTAATATATTGCAGCTTACTAATCATTAGATGTGGTGGTTGCATATAGTTTTCCTTTTTAGGCTATTTTTCCTGTTTTCATCTTGGGTCCTGGCCAGTAACACACTTCCTCTATTAGGGTGTCTACACTCTGGATGAAGGCGCAACAGAGGCACCCGTGGACAGTAGAATTGTCAGTCTGGGAGGAAGGGAGTGTTAGATTTAAGTACACTATCTAATTGAAGCTGAACTCCAGCACTTCATAAGCAGTTATAGCAACAGTTTTGTTCCTTTTGAGATAAAGGTTTTACATAAATGAATAAAAGTGGACCATTGTAAGCATGTCTGTCAGCAGCATATGGTTTGTCTCAACCTTCTAACTGCTACATCTTCAAGACAGCTTGTTCTGTTAAAAACATCTGGCTTACTGGCAGGATTCTGGGGTGAAAATATAAGGAAGAAAGCCTAAAAAAAGAGAACTAATACAACCATCACATTAGTAAGCTGCAATATAATAAATGTTTGTGTTTGGTCTTTATATTGCTTTAACTTCCTTTGCATTTCAGTAACTCACCGACCCCTTGCTTGCAGTCAGGTTCTGAAGAGCTCCAGCACTTGCTTCCAATATAGAGTCCTTCTTACTCTGTCCCAGAAGAGACAGGTATGTCTTTATAGCGCTGGAGTGAGACAGCAGAGCAGACCCTTTAGGATTAACATCTTCTTCTGGAAGTGGCAGCTCAAAGTTATTATTCTATGGAAAACACAATGTAATTGTTATTATGTGCTAAATGTAAGTTCTACCCCCATAGAAGAATTTGGTATTATGAAAAGGAATATTTCATATTTTTTAAAGATCATTTGAAGAGTATGTGAACTCAACATTTCATATTCCTAAGATGTGCATGATGTACCATGTACTTGTATGAAAAAGTATCATGTTCTCTTTGTATTGCTTATAATTCAATGTACATGCATATCACAATTGTCTAATACCTTGTTAGAACATGTCATATGTGGTGGGGATATTTTACTTTTTCACAATTATTTTTAGAGGTATCTTTGGCTCAAACATTTGCAAGGAAGAATCAGATTAGAAATCGACAAGTATTCTTAAAAAGGTTTGGAACTTGAGCTGTTAGGAGAGGGGTGTTATCAATTTGAAGGTTTGACAGATGGATACCAGAGTGGCTAGTCACTAACAAGACAAAATAGACCTGTCCAAAGATATAGCAACGACTTCACCAAATTTCCTTTACTTTCACTTTCAATGATAATCGAAAGGACAAATAGAAAAGGTGACTCTCCCTAATGGGGTCGCAGACAGCAATAAAAAGTATGCGTTGTATGAAAAAATATCCTGTTCTCTTTGTATAGCTTCCTTTGTCTGAAATCCCTGGTGTTCCTGCCAGTCCTTCTGCCTACCTTTTAAAAACTGACCACACTAGGCTTGAAAGCACAGAATGGTCAATTCTCTAGCTGTGCTAGGAACTCAGTGTGCTCTCTTCCAAAGATCAGACTTCTGCTCACATGCCCCCCCACACCTGCACAGACATTTACTGGGTTGTTCAGTCTACAGCTGTTTCTCCTCCCTCAGCTCTCTGTTCTCAGCTGCATAGGGAGCGTATAGGATGTGTGATCACTTATAAAACAGGGAATACAAGTTTTTTTCTTTTTAATAATATTTTTATATCTATACACCTTTCATTGCTGTTGCGCTTTGAATGACAATTGCGTGTTCATGCAATGTTGTACCCATATGAAATATTTAATAATTTTTTTCACACAAATAGAGCTTTCTTTTTTTTGGTATTTACTCGCCACTGGGTGTTTTATTTTTTGCACTATAAACAAAAAAAGAGCAAAACATTTGAAAAAAAAAGTTTTTCTTTGTTTCTGTTATAAAATTTTGCAAACAGGTAATTTTTCTCCTTCACTGATGTGCGTTGATGAGGTTGCACTGGTAGGCAGCACTGATGGGCACTGATAGGCTGCACTGATATAAGGTGGCACTGATGAGGCGGCACTGGTGGGCATTGAGGAGGAGGCACTGATGATGCTGCACTGATATTCAGCAATGATGGGCACTGATAGGCGTCACTGATGGACATTGACAGGTGGCACTGATAGGCAGCACTTATGGGCACTGATGGGTGGCCCTGACTGGTGGCACTGATTGACAGAACTGACTGGTGGCACTGCTGGGAACTGATAAGCGCAACTGCTGGGCAGCACTGATGGGTGGCACTGAAGGACACTGGTGGGTGGCACTCATGGGCACTGGTGAGTGGAACTGCTGGGCATTGGTGAGCGGGACTGCTGGGCACTGATGGGCGGCACTGATCATCAGGTCACTGATGATCAGTGCCCTGATGATCAGTGCAGATGTTCTATGTGACATCTGCCGGTTATCGGCATTACTTTGTGCTGCTGATAATCGGCAACTGTATTTACTTTGTGATCTGCTGTGTCATTGGACACAGCTGGACACAGCTGGCCACAGCTGACACAGCTTTTACCATGTGGTAAAAGGCTGCTGTGATTGTCCTTTTACCATGTTATGTGATCAGCTGTGTCCGCAGGACACAGAGATCACTGACAGTGCCAGGTGAACTCTGGGAGGTGCATTCTGGGAGGATCATATGAAGCCCTCCCAGAACTGGACAACTGCACTATAGCCATCATTTGGTTATAGCATGGTTGTAAAGTGGTTAAACTGAATGGGTTGTTTTATATGGTGAGTGTTTACATATACTTCATACACCAGGTCAGTGTGCCAAGCAGAAAGAACCATAACATAGCAAATGCCAAAACAATAATAATAGATAGGTGTATAGACTCCTACCAAAGAAAAACCCCAAAGTTGCATCTCAGGGGCATATGGTTGGCTCACCTGTGGGGGGACCAAAAAGGGAATCTGCTCAAGAATAAGTTCACCTTTTAAAAAAAAAAAATAATAAATGCACATCTTTTTGCAGGTAAAAAAATGTGCATTTATTTTTTTTTTAACTTGAAAGCACTTCACTCGCGATCACTCCTGCAGACCTGTCAGTGTATCTGTCTGCTCATACCTCATATGGGCAAGCAGATACACACTGACAGGGAGACTCAATGAACTACCACAGTGCTCACCAGTGTCATTTAGAACTAGAAACTGACAGCCTCAAAGGCTTGTAGGGACTTGTAGTTTTCCAATTCACAGATAGTGGCAGTGAGCGGGGGTATTGTTGTAATTGATACACAAGTGTATGAAAGTGTGTTGGGGTGCTGGTAGCTAGGTAATTGGTATTTCAGATCACAAGACGCACTACAATTTATAGAAGATCCCCTACTCGCTGTCAAAACAGGGACTTGGGGGGGATGCTTATATGGGTGTAACATGTTACAAAAGGTGAACTTATACTTTCACCCAAGAAAGGTATATAGAGTAAATGGTAATAAGTCATATGTGATTCGCAAGTCACAAGGGGCACACAGTCTATAGACAGAGCTGGCTCAACAACATTATGTGGCAACACCAGATCATAGCTGCATCTCCTACACATATCTGTCCTCAACAGCAAAGGGAAGACAAGGAAAAGGCAGTTTCAGCCAAGATCGATCAAACTGTGAAAGAGAAACCCTCAGATGTCCTTAATAACAGTCGCCAGAGACCAGCCAACACCAAGGCCAGAAACTCTTTTAAAAAGGTACTATGACTAGTGTGTTAAAAGAGTGGCACTGCAGTCTGGAGATAAAGTTCTTGTAAGTAATATGTCAGAAAAGGGAGGCCTAGGAAAATGAACACACTGGGAAAAGAAAGTGTACAAGGTAAGGGAACAGATATTATAAGAGCATATCTATAAGGTAAAACCTGAAAATGCCAACAAACCAGCAAGAGTGATTCATTCCAAACTGGCAATGATTTGCGTTTAAAAGGTATAACGCCAGATATGCCAAAAATAATTACCACTAGGACCAAGAGTGGAAGACAGCAATAATGCAGAGAGCACATATTCAGATACGATGAGTACTATGTGGATTGTCCTAAACTCTTCCAAAAAAGTGGAAAATGAATAGTTCCCCTATTATGACCCAAAGCTGAAGAATTCTATACTCGATCCAAATCTTTCTCCTGAACAGCTAGGAAGGCATGAACTGACTAATGAAGTAGTTTTGAAACCCTCCAAAGAAACTGAGAAAGAAAGTATAGCAGAATCTTCTCAGCAGGAGGCAGAATTACAACTAAGAGATGAAACAGTTGCACCAACCCTCCATGAACCAATGACAGAGGTAAGCATATCCTCTAAACAAAGTTATACTCTAGAACACAAAATCAAAGGTGATACTAACATATGAGATATTGGCAATTTTCAAAAGTGAGATGTTTCCACAAATATGTTTGAATAGCACTGTGGCCCCAAGGCACAGAAGGGTCAGTTAGAAGTTCCCTCATGTTCACATTTCTTGTCAGGAACATATGCTGGTAGTTATTTACATCAGCCTTTCTCAACCAGGGTGCCTTGGGGTTTCTTCAGGGGAGCCTTGGCAAAATGCCTAAAAATTGCCCAAAACTTGTATACAAGCCAGCTGGTGGGACAAGCCTGCATTTTAGGTACACAAAGCCATAGGGTTTCATTGTGCACCATTACGACCTTCTAGCCGCTGGTATCCTGACAACCAATGACATCATCATTTGATAAGGAGGATGTCAGCTGCCTGCACAGCATCCTAGTTTGATCCTCCCCTGTCCCTTTCCATCAGTGCTGGGGTCACATTCGCTCAGTGATGGAGAAAAACTGAAGGAAAAGAGAAACACTGGAATACTAGTCAGTACCAGTGTACAAAAGTGCATTTGCTTTGGAAGAATAAATCACCTCTAATGTTGGGTGCCCTACATGTGTGGATGTTGCTGCAGTATATAAAAGTATTTTAGAATGGAGTGCCCTTTTAAAATTATGGACAGTCTAGAGGCACCCTATTTTAGAATGGGGTGCCTCAAGACTGTCCATAATTTTAAAGTGTCCCTCAGGACTATCCATAATTTTAAAGGGTGCCTTGAATGAAAAAAGGGTGAGATTAGTTAAATCGGATATAGAGGTTATATCTATTTCAGATCATGCCCCGCTTAAGGTAAGATTACGAATGGGTAGAGAAGGAAATAGAAGGGCTATGTGGAGGTTAAATGAGACTCATATAAATGACCCAGATATAGAAAAAAGATTAAAGGAAGAGCTAGAACAATTTTTTGAAATAAATGAAACAGAGGAAGTAACATTGGCAACGATATGGGGGACACATAAGGCATATATGAGAGGAATCTTGATTGCGGCAGGAAAAAAAAAAAGAGAGATCGTGAAAAGAGGTTAAAAGAGGTAACTGAAGAGATATATATATTAGAACAAGCACATAAAAAAAGCAGGATTTAGATTTATATGAGAAGATAATTCTTAAAAGAGATGAATTGAAAGATCAGAAGAGCAAGAAACAAGGAAAATCTTTAATAGAGTTTCAAGAGAAAGATACCAGTGGGGGAATAGACCGGATAAATATATGATGAAGAGACTGAAGGAAAAGAAGTAAAAAAAACTATGTAGAAAAATAAAAGGATGAGAACGGAGACCTAGTCTATACCACCACTGGTATTGATGAAAGTTTCCAACGGTTCTATAGTGGGCTGTATAATGTGAACCCCCATGAAACAAAATGTAATAGAGGAAGATAAGAATAGGAGACGGCAAGAATGTTTGGTGGAAGCAGATCTACCAAAGACTGCAAAAGAAAAATTAATATAATTAGAATGGAATATTTCTCAGGACGAAATTAGGGAGGATTTGAAAAGTACGAAGGGAGGAAAGAGCCCGGGCCCAGATGGGTATACGGTGGAGTATTACAAAAAATTCAAAGAGATATTAATCCCCAAACTCTGTGGATATATGAATGCGTTGGGAGAAGGAATGGGAATGAGAGGAGAATCATTACATGCCCATATAACTATTATTCTTAAGGAAGGAAAGGATGGCTCTCAGTGTGTGCTAGTTATAGACCCATATCATTGTTAAATACTGATACTAAATTATATGCGAAAGTTCTGGCTACTAGGTTGAAGGAGCTGATGCCGGAATGGATACATTTAGATCAGGTAGGGTTTATACCAGGAAGAGAAGGGAAAGATAATGGATTGAGAACACTGTTCAAAAGGTAAAAAGAAGTAAACAGCCAACAATAATATTGTCAATTGAGGCAGAAAAAGATTTCGACAGAGTAGATTGGGGTTCATGATAAACACACTGGAGGCTTTGGGAATCGGAGATAAGATGATGAAGTGGATAAAGGGGCTTTATAGTTGTCCCTCTGTGGCGGTGAAAGTTAATGGGACTCTGTCTGAATCCTTTGGTTTGTACAATAGAACTAGACAGGGTTGCCCTCTGTCACCATTATTGTTTGCTTTGTACTTAGAACCATTATTAGCATCAATAAGAAAGAATATAGATATCTCAGGAGTTAAAATAGGAGGAGTAGAACATAAAGTAGCAGCATATGCGGATGATATGCTATTTTATATAGAGAATCCTAGAATAACATTACCCAACTTAATGAAGTTAAAAAAAACAATATGGAGAACTATCTAACCTAAAAATAAATCCTACAAAATCAGAGATATTAAATATTAATGTTTCAAAACAGGATAAGAAGAATCTACAAGAAGACTTCCCATTCATTTGGAGGGAAAGAGAATTAAGTTATCTGGGAATAAAATTAACTTCTACAATAAAAGATTTGTATCAAGCTAATTATATTCCATTAATAAACGAAATTAAAGATGAGTTAAGAAGATCATCAGGAGGTTGGGTTTCATGGATTGGATGAATAAATTTAGTTAAGATGATAATAGTACCAAAAATCCTGTTAAAATTTTTTTTTGGGGGGGAAGAAGAAGAGGGGATGTGTTTGAATAATAATGTTGATATTTATGTATTTATGTTTTTTGTTATATATGTTGTCAAATTTTTTATATAAAGGAAAATTAATAATAAAAGAGATAATAAGAAAAAAGATTGAGAAACACTGATTTACATAATACAGGCCGTGAATCATTTTCAATATTCTTAACATTAGGAGATATTTATTTAAAAAGGGTAAGTATACAGCAGGAAAATTATAGACCTCCCAACGATATTATGAGGCTGCAGCTAGAGAGAGTACTAAGTTATAGAATGTGACAACAGGGGAGCGATACAATCAGGAGCATGGTAAACTCAGAAGACACATGAGCAATATATGTTCTGTGCTCTTCTTTGCCTGATGCAAATACACCCTATACTCAGAATACCGTCAATCCTGTAATGCATCTATATCCAAAAGTGTTACATACTGTAAAATCTAATTGCAAGTCAAAAGGTAAATGTTACTTGTTCTGTACTGCTGCCATATTTGCAACAGTATGGAACCATACATTTCTAGATTTTTCAATGCATGTGCATCAACGGTGTGTGAAAGCCTCTATACTCCATGTTACATTAGGTCTACTCGACTTCAGACAGTGGGAGTATTGTAAATGACCTATGTAATTTGTAAAACAGTTGGGAATTTGTGGGTGCTACATAAATTAAAAAAAGATGGGACTTGTTATGACAACTGATTACGGTATGGTTCCAGCATAACCAATAAAACATCATGAAACACTTATTTACCAATTTTACGTCACTACCAAGTATGACAGTTTGAAGTAGACAAGTGTTTTGTTTCTATTAGTTTTTCGGACGAAATTGTATTTTTTGTAGATTCAGATGTATACAAATCTCTGCATGGACATAGTAATGAATGACAATGAATCTGAAAAAAGTTATAACGAAATTAACAAATGCATTCATTTCTTTTGTTTCATTTACGTGACGTCACATGATGCGATATCGGGGCCATGGGGAAATTAATTCAATTTTCAGATTCGATCGATAGTTCAAATTCAGATAAAGAATGAATCTAAATTCCATTCCATTTGTTAATTTGGATGCACATGACGCCAGTCGATATTGTGCAATCAGCTCATGCCATTTCCCTTGGTGGGTTGAACTAGTCTCCGAAAATATCAAATCCTTTCGATTCAAATCTGTCTGATTCGATAATATATTGACTATAAAGCAATCTTCAGGAAAAACTGCTAAATCTTTTGAATCCACCCAGACCAACGCATGTACGAAATGAATGCTGAAGATGCGAAACAAATCCCAAAAATAAATTGGGTCAACATAACGAATGTGACGAAGCAAAATTCTTCAATGAACAAATGTATCCGAAATGAAATGAAATGACCATTTCCAGCATGCACATGTCTAGATAGAAGTTGTTGTTTCTGTAAAACATTAGTAGAATGTATCTCTGCTTTGAAGTATATGGATACTGTAAAACGGGAATATTTTACCTGTATCTTCTCACTCTTATTGCTGAAACAGCCAGTAGATGTTTTGTCTGTTTGTTGGTTGCGCAACATTTGCTCATTCAGTTGGGAATACTTATTGGGCACCTCCGAATCCAAATGGTAAGAGAGATTATGCAGAATACAAGCACAGTTCTCCACTGACTAGAAAAGCAACATAATAGTAAAGAGTTAGGGTATTTGCAAAGATAACACAAACATAAAGGGTTATTAAACCCAGGACCCTGCATTCACTATATCTGGTTTCCCACAGTACACAGAACATGGAAATGCAATTATTTTAGTAAATATAAACGGCTAATAACCTTTTCTCATCAACAGTTAGAGCAGTCTTGTGACTTCTTTCAGTGTCTAGCAGAGCATTGGTTAAAACTTGTAGGTGGAGTTTTCATTCTCCCCTGGTTGCCCTATGAGGCTGAATAATCCCCAACTCTCTGTCTGGGCAGCACTTATTGGCTCTGTGCTGATCACATGCACTATCCCAAGAAAAGAAAAAAAACTCTCTAGCAATACACAACAAACTCGGCATCTGCACAGGACATGGAAATGCAATTATTTTAGTAAATATAAACTGCTAAATATCTTTTCTCATCAGCAGTATATAGTAGTCTTGTGACTTCTATCTGTGTCTAGCTGAACACTGGTGAAAGCTTATAGGATGAGTCTTCATTTTCTTCTGGCTGTCCTATGAGGCTGCATAACCCCTAACCCTCTGTCTGGACAGTGCTGATTGGCCCTTTGCTGATCACATGCACCTTCCCACACTAAACTGAGCATGTTCAGAGTGACTCCAAGAACTCTGTACTATTAGCATATAGATTGGGGGCAGTAGAAGAAGGGGAAGATCAGAGAAGACAGGATCTAACAACCTTTTTACTCAATGTGGAGGAATAACCCCTTAGGTTCCACAATGAATATAACAAGCATGCTTTACTGCATATACAGACTGATTTTACTGTTGTGGGTTTAGTAACACTTTAATATTGTTTAGCGCTAACTTAACAGAGCTTATTCAACCCCCTACCTTATCATCTGGGTTATTATTGGTCACTTGTTTCTGAATGTAATGCATCAAAGAGTCCACCAAGCCTGGAGTGTTACGCATAGTTTGACGACCAACCTCTGCTGAACTAAGATTCCTGAAGATGATCAGAAGTTACATTGCAGCACAAACAACAAAAGGGAAAGTTTGACAGCATTGTGTACATTACAGGAAATAATATGCAGTAAACAGCAAAAGACTTGTTCTTTGACATTTTTACCTTAAACACCCAGTGGCATTGAAAAATATTTCAGGGTGCATGTTACTTTTTTGACCAGGCACTGAATTCTCTGTCCAGCCAGAGAATGGAATCACTACACATTCATTCAGGACAGGGAGAGCTTCCCTAACAAGTTCCTCTTTTAGTTGGTCTGTAGAAGATAAATTCCACAAAAGACCTGTAGTACAAAAAGAAAAGTCGGGGTCACTTATAAAGAATAGTATAAAATTAGGATGCTTTTAATTTACATCTTTTTAATTCTAAATGCTCATGCAGCATGTATAAAACATTTCAGAGAGCAGCAACTACTTTTGGCTACTATAACAAAATTAGACAAGTTAATGGCCTCTCTAAGTATTAAATAATTTGGGTTACTTGTATACAAACAATATAGTTTGTAAGGGCTCATGCTAAAGGACATTCTTTCCAAATGCAGCCATTTCCATTCAAATGTAGCTGCACTTCACTCTACCAGTCAACACTATGTTTTAGGCTAGGTTCACACTCATGCGGTGTGGTACATCGCATTTGATTCGCACAGGAACAGCATCGGATTCCTGTGCAAATCACATGCAAATTGTGTATGGCTCAAATTGCACCTCATCCGCACCAAAAAGGTACAGGACCCTTTTTTGGGTCCACACTAGAATTGAATCGCATGGGTATTCACACCTATGCTATCAGATTCTGCACATGGCACTGCGTTTTGCGGACCGATTTTGGGGTGTAGTTAACTTAACATACACACCTGCAGAGGTGCGCATGAACGAGGTTAGATTCTGTTGAGGTGCGGACCGTATCAGTGTGAACCCAGGCTTAATCCTTATGCTGCTAGCATTAGTAAAAGGATAAGAATGTATATCTTATTTGTTTTGTTTCAAACATTTTTACGTTTCTTCGGTTACTTCCTGGTTTCCAGGCCTAGGCAAAGGATGTCATATATCCTAGGAGTGTTCAGGAGGGGTTTGCTCAGCTATGCAAACCCTCCTGCCTGTATGCCTGAGCTAAGGACAGATGGATTGCAGGAAGCAACTGCTACATGAATCATCTGCCCATACTGAAGATGGCCACAGCCAGAAATGCTAGGGGGTGTTTTTCAAATTGATTTTTCAGCAGAATATAGCATAGAGACATGGATATATGGGTGCGTTTGCTTAGAAAATTGAAAATGAATTAAATCGTGTTCTTAGTTTGTGGTGCTCAGATGCAGTGTAGTTCTGTTTTAACAAGAAAGCTGTGTTTTGTCCTGTTTGGCCTGCAGTTTAAATGTACCTTAGTAGGAAATGCTGCATTCAAACACATTCAGGGCAATGCAAAGCAGGTCGAACCAGGGGTGGACTGACAACTCATGGGGCCCCAGGCAATAGGGGATCATGGGGCCCCTGTGTCCTTGCCCAAACTCAAAAAAGCCTATGAAAAAGGTACCAGGGGCCTCTCATGGGGCCCCCTACTGACCCCGGGCCCTTGGGCAGTGCCCGAGTTTCCAAATGGTCAGTCTGCCCCTGGTTTGAACTCAGCCTGTGAACTGTCAGCTGTACTGTTCCATTGGAGTCAATGGCAATTTGCTGACTTGTGTTTCAAGCACACATAACACCCAGGTAGACTATGCCCCTGTTTATGCCCTAACACTTCATAGAAGACACTCTAACCTTCAAAGAAAACATAATACACGGCGGTTGATTTACTAAAACTGGAGAGTGCAAAATCTGGTGCAGCTTTGACAAAAATAACCCCTCTAAGATGACTGGTTTTTATGCAGAGCTGCCTCTGAGTTTGCACTCTCCAGTTTTAGTAAAGCAACCCGACTGTGTCACTACCACTGTATTATGCACACAGCAGGACCTGCTTGGGTGGAAGCTAGTGTTGCTACCTCATCCTTTTAAAACCGAACACATATTAATTACACAGGTTCTGTGGCTGATTAAGGTGATAATTAAACTCACTCAGTGCCTTATCTGCAATAAATTTGCCTCAGAACTTGTGTAATTAATATGTGTTTGGTTTTAAAGGGATGCGGTGACAACCCTATTGGAAGCCAATAAACCTTATGTTATGTATGTTTGGGTTATGAAAAGACACCAGAGCAACTAGAGGAAACCCACACATAGACAGTATCTGAGGACTGTAAAGCAACAATGCTATCCATTTAGTCACTATGCTCTCCAAACTGTTATGAAAAGTATACGATTATTTTGATAATGGCTACAAAGACCAATGTGTACTGATTATAGAAATGCTTGTTCCTTTAATCTGCATGAAAATGTCACAGGCAATCTTCCTGAGATCCTGTGTACATACACAACCACACATTGATTTGTTTGTGCACAAAATGTGATGATAAGTGCACTTTATGTAAATATGGTACCTTGATTTCACCCCACCTAGATAGAAAATTCCTAAACAGACCGATGTACCTTAAACTTTCAGCTATTTAAAAGCTATTTAACCTGCCTGGGAGTTTTGGACATGGTTTCAGACCTCTGGCACTTCTATAACTCTTGAAATTCAGTTTATGTGCAAGGAAATGTAATTGGAAATAATGACACTCTCCGTGGCTAGGTGGAAGCATATACCAGCCACAGCTATTATCCTCTATTGCACCTTTGGGTGCATGCACTTGACCGCAAAGAGCACTGGGGGCTCCAGAGGCTTCGAACACTGTCCCAGCCTAGGCAAACCCAGCAATGAAAACTACAGATTATCTGGATTATCTGGGAGTTAAACTAACCTGCACTTACTCAATTCTTTTTGTGAACAATTACTACCCACGCCTTCAAAATGTCACCTCTCTCATGCAATCATGGCATTTCCCCACTCTGTCATGGATTGGCTGCATACACGCTTTTAAAATGACTATCCTCCAGAGAATCCTATACTACTTTCAAACCCTACGCTCCACTCTTTGCACTCATAGACAATGAGGAGGGCTTGGGGTTCCTAATATAGTAAAATATTACATGGCAACGCAATCGCCCAATTGACCAGCTCATGCCACTATGGAAGTCCCATTGTGGGTGCTCTTAGAAATCCCTAATCGCTCGCAAATCGCAGTGTCGGCCCTACTGTGGCTCCTTCATGGACTCTGCCCTCCCTTCCTAAGCCCCCTCATTCTACACAGCCTTTCTACCCCTTCTTCCACTTTTCAATAACCCTTCATTCCCACCACGTCTCGATCAACCAGGAACATTTCACACAGGTTCACCATTTCCTCACACTCCGCACTTTTCCTTCCTGGTCCTCTTTTGAGAAGATCTACGAGGCACCACCTGTGGAGATTTTTCATTATGCCCAACTCTGCTATTGGGTAACCTCCCTAAGACTTAACTTTACCTATCCTTTTAAAAATCATTTCAATGATTTTACCTCTTACAAATCCTGATGGGAACTTGACCTATCAACCTTTATTGACCCTGAGGAGTGGAGTAAGGCCTGTTCTTCCATTGTGAAGTGCTTCTTTATTACTGCCACATTAGCGGCAGCATACAAGGTACTGTTTAGATGGTATTGGGTTCCGGCTCATATAGCAAATTCAAATCCATCATACAGCGATAGGTGCTTCAGAAGTTGCAGCCACATAGAGATGTCATTCATATCTGGGGGTTCTGTCCACACTTGCCGTGCTTCTGGTCCAGGGTTTTCGGGCTCATCTACACTTTATTTCATGTTCTTATATGCAAGGACTCCAAGCTGGCTGTAATGCATTGCCTGATTCAGGGTTTTTGTTCATATCAATAAAAACTTGCAACCTCTTTGTTTATTGCTGTCATATGAGCCATAACTAATGTCTGGAAGAAAACCTAATTTTTTTTGCTGCGGTAAAGAAAAGCTTGACCTCCATCATGATCAAAGAAAAGATGTCTAGCATCTAACATGACTTCCATGCTAAGTTTCTTAAAGTGTGGGAACCGTGGTGGTCATATGCTCTCCCCACCCTGCATCTGACCAGTTTGGACACCCTATAATTGACTCTATGTGTATCCAAGCCTGCAGGAACCTTACCCCTCCCCATATTTTCTCCTCTCCCCTCTTTTTTTCTTCTTTTTTCTTTCTCTTCTTTCTCATTTTTGTTTCTCTTTTAGTATGCCCCCTAGGCCCCCAGACCTAGGTATTTCACACGGATCCATGGCCCACACCACGAGGTTGACCTATTGATTGTTTACCACACAAAAATTGTCATGCTTTATATGATCCCACCTATGTCTCCGCTTATGCTTCCAGTTGTGATCCCCCTGTGTAGGTGACCAGTTTGTTTGCTATATACAAACCTTTCAATAAAAAATGATTGTACCAGAAAACTACAGATTATATACATATGATGTAATTATTATTATTATTATTTTTATTTAGAGCAAGGGAGAGAGAACTACTAAAAAAACAAAAAGGCGTTGTACATGAAAGGTTGAAGTGAATTTCACATCAGTTAACCTAAATGTGTAGTTTTAAGTCAAAGTTCAGACACTTGCCTGTTAGTTGCTTCTGAGTTTCTTCATTGGGGGTCCTCCTCAAAAGGTTGACAGCTGCACGGACACCTCCTTTCTGACTTGTTTCAATTTTATTTGGGGTATTTTTGAAGACAAGATTCCTTAGTGCACCAGCTGCTGCTTGCTGTACATTCTGATTGGGACTGTCTAACAGAGTGATTAGCTTCTGGATTCCATTGTGCTGGTATACCTGGACAGATACCATGAAAAACATTAAGGCATGATTTTGGAAATATAAAGGCTCATGAGCACAGTCATCCCCATGGTAATCTTTCTTAGAGATACAAAAAATACCTGTTTATAATAGGAGATCCCAGAAGAAAACCATTATGCTTATATTATTGTTTTTGTTTACAAAAAGACAATTTAGGTTAAGTTTGACTAATTAGATACCTCATACAAGCAAAAGATAACAACTTCCAGTCAAAACTCAATTTTGCCCCTTTGTACTGCTTAATACCCAATAGCAAACCCTTAGACAGTAACAAATGAACAGGGGTAGCAAAGATTGCAGTTGCAACCTGACGTGTTCCTAGGGGGACCATATCCAATCACCTTCTCTACTGCCATGATTCTGCTATCTGCTATAGGGCGGTTCTTACGCGGTTAAAGTTGTCTACCCTCCTCCCATTCCTCTCTCCTTTGGTATTTCACTGAAGCCCTTTTTCTTGGTAGGTCTCTACCATTTTGGATCAGTTCTCTCAACAGTAATGCATAGAAACCTAAATATGGAAAAATACAGAATTATTGGGGTTGATATACTTAAAGTAGAGCTAAAGGCAACGTTTTTTTAGTTTTGGCCAGAGTGGAGTTAGCTTAGAACTCCTGTCAGGTTGTTATTGCTGCCTGGGTCCCTGTTAGGAAGATTCACCCTCTTTACTAGTCCTGTTTAGCATCATCCTTGCAAATGAAAGTAAAAGAAAATCCCAAATTTTGGGTTGTCCCCAGAAAAGTGACAGAGGGGAAATCTTCTGATGTGGACACAAATAGCAAAAAAAAAACCTGACAGGGATTATAACTTTCCCTTACGCTTTCCAAAATGAAAAAAAGTAGTGGCTATAATTCCACTTTAAGCATATAGACAGTATACTTTGCAAGTTGCCCCAGAGCTTAGTAAAAGAGGTAAAGCTTAGCTTTACAAAGGATACCCAATCAAATGCAAGAAAAATTTAAAAAGCTGCATTTTTGCTTGCACATGATTGGATGATGGAAGTCAGCACTGTTTCCCCTTACTTACAAAGCTCTGGAGTAACTTCACTTGCAAAGTAATGTGCCTTTAGTAAATCCACCCCATTACATTTAGTAAATCCACCCCATTACATGTAGTAAAATATATCTATTCTCTTCTGTCATTTCGCTAGATTTTCAGAGACTTTTTTTTTGTATATATATAAGCATATACATCATTTCCTGCAAAAAATGTCAATCAGTCCAAACATAATCCAATGTACATGCATATCACAATTGTCTAATCCCTTGTTAGAACATATGTCATATGTGGTGGAGATATTTTACTTTTTCACAATTATTTTTAGAGATATCTTTGGCTCAAATATTCACAGGGCAGAATCTGATAAGGAATAGACAAGTATTCTTACAAAGGTGTGGAACTTGAGCTGTTAGGAGAGGGGGGGTGTTATCAATTTGAAGGTATGAGAGAAGGATACCAGAGTGACACTTTCATGACTATAGCTAGTCTCTAACAAGACAAAATAGACCTGTCCAAAGATATAGCAATGACTTCACCAAATAGCCTTCACTTTCAATGATAATCAAAAGGACAAATAGATAAGCTCTTGCCATGCAGTTTGTGTCTAAAAGCTGTACCACAAAGGGAAAAATGGCTGGAAAACACAGGAATGGGGAACATTTCCATATATTAAAATATATTTTAAATAAAACCAAAAAAGTACATAGTTATAAGTGCTAATTCCTAGGTGCAGCAACTCTTCAGCAATCAGTTAGGATTCAGCTCTGGCAAAGCCATACCAGGGCAAGATAGGTGCAGTGAACACGAACAAGAAATTAGGATTTTTATTGACATTTTTATTGAAAAAGTTTGTAAGTGTTATCTCCTCTAATTTATGTACGTACCACATTTTTAGCATTCTCATCTTGATAGCATGTATGTTGTATATAGTTTGCTCCAGAAGTCTGATATTTGTCATAGGAAAGAAGTTCCACTGCCTTTTCTATGGTCATAGATTGTCCATCAAATTCATCACGGGACTCCATCCTAATATATATGTGTAAAATAATAGATCAGTAGAGAAAAAAAAGTAGTATTAAAGGATAAATGCACTTTAAAGCAAAGTGCATTTATCCTTATAGACCCCTTCCCTGACTTGACCTAAACCAACTCACCCCTCCTCTCCACATATACATACTTACTTCGATCCAATGAGTGCAGTTCTGCTGTTTGCTTACACTGGTAATGCACAAGCGCAGCAAGAACAGTGAAGATGTGCAGGGCTGGATATACACTATGGCTGGTGGACTGAGGTAAGTATTCAGCTGTAGAGGGGGAGGTTAGGCCACGAGAAGGGAGTGAAAAGTATAAGTGCACTTTGTTTTAAGGTGCACCTATGCTTTAAAGAAGAAGTAATTAAAATAATGTAGTAGTATTCTGCAGAGCAATAAAACCCAATAAAACCACTTTTTTTTAATGAACCCTTCTCTAGAAAAATTGTCAGCTGAAGTCTGGATGTCTGATGCAGGGAAAACATTCCCTTATCCTTAGTTCTAACTGAGCAGAAAACTGCCCCCTCAGGCGTTGGCTTAAAGATTGCATTTAGGACCCGTTAAATGCACCGCAACAGACCAATCTTGTGTGAACAGGCCTGCATGGATTTAGAAAAGGTTTGCTTTAAGGTCACTACTAAAGACTCAAGAGGAAAAGACATTTAACCTCCATATATAAAAAAATGAGCTCTCCTGTAAAGCTTGCCATACATGTGGCTTTTCCACAATTGTATACAATGTTGTTTAAGATGGAACCAAAATCCTGGATAACTGAATACTGAAATTTGTTTTGATTAACTGGAGGATAAAAGGATATGAGATTGAAATTGCCTTGACCAAAATAAATTTTTTATGGTTTCAACTGATTTTAAAATAACCTTAACTTAATTTAATTTATAGCTCAGTTGCATAAAACATTTCACCCAATTCAAGTGATATATTATACTCTTGAGGGGTAGATTGCTTGTTTTCAGGCAATCACCTTTGAACCCATATTCAAAAAAGTTAAATAGTCTTTAGTCAGCTTCAGTCAGCTAAGCAGACTGTTTCACAAAAAGGGCTGGATGAGGCACTAAATATTAACAAGCAATAACACTGGGTAATGTTGACCAGGGAAGCTATATCATTGCCTTTGAATTTAGAAAAAAAAGTCCCCATGGAATGTTCAAGGTTTTAATCTGTGACATGTCTTTGTGCAACCCTTCTAATTGTCAGGGAAGCACTGGAAATCTTTGGCCTGGGAGACAAACAACAACCAACCTAGGATCAGATTCCTGTTGAATAAACAAAGCACAGCACACAACGTTTGGCCCAGTGTCACAGTGATTGATGGCCATCATTAAAGGGGTGGGTGTTGTCTTAAAAAACATAATTCATTGTAACACCCATTATACATATATATCCCAAAAAAGGGCGATTGTAAGGGATGAATTGTTAAAGAGGAAGTCATTGGTGACTGACATGATTGCTGCTCTGTGAAAATGACATGGACACACCTAATAAAACTACCAAATAAAATACCATGCCATCATCACAAATATCCTTCTCATTCCACTTCTTTAACAAATAGCACAACACATTTCACATTTTTGTATTTTTCCATCATTGACATACTTTAAAGCCTTTCTGCATTTGGTCATATCTTAAAGCTACGAAGAAAGACATTGCCCAGATAAACTTTCAGCTAAAATGAGATAAATGCGATCCAGATGCATCGAAACAAAAGTTGAGCAAATGCTTTTAGTTTGTTTTCTTTAAAAAGCAGCTGCAGTCTAAGTGGGACCTGTGTGGAAGCAGTGATCTTTTTTGCAACTGCCTGCCATGAGTCAGAGCCAGTGCTCACCGATTAATGGGGAGCATGAGCTTTGTTCTTTGTATGACTATAAGCCTGACTCAGCAGGGAGCTCTGTAATGAGACCACTGCTTCCACAGAGAGAGGGTTTCAGCTCTGCTGCTAGTTAGATAGCCATCACTGAATTGCAGGCCCCACTCTTATTGAGGACTGAATGTGGGAGTTTCTCCACTCACAGCCCAACATACACTCACCAGCCACTTTACTAGGTTCACCTTGCTAGTACCAGGTTGGACTCTGTTTTGCCTTCATAACTGCCTTAATTCTTCATGGCATAGATTCAAAAAGGTTTTAGAAACATTTCTCAGAGATTTTGGTCTATATTAATATACATGATAGCATCACGCAGTTGCTGCAGATTTGTCGGCTCCACATCCATGATAATGTCTCCCATTCCACCACATCCCAAAAGTGCTCTATTGGATTGGGATTTGGTGACTATGGAGGCCATTGGAGTATGGTGAACTCATGGTCCTGTTTAAGAAACCATTTTGAAATTATTTGAACTTTGTGACATGATGCATCATCTGGCTGGGAGTAGCCATCAGAAGATGGGTACACTGTAGTCATAAAGGGATGAACATGTTCAGCAACAATACTCAGGTAGGCTGTGGCATTTAAAACAATTCTCAACTGGTACCCTGGGCCAAAAGTATGCCAAGAAAATATCCTCCACATCATTACACCACCACCACCAGCCTGAACCATTGATACAAGGCAGGATGGATCCATGCTTTCATGTTTATTATGCCAAATTCTGACCGTACTGTCAGACCAGCCCGTCTGGCACCAACAACCATGCCTTGTTCAAAGTCACTTAAATCCCCTTTCCTCTCCATTCTGATACTCTGTTTGAAGTTCAGCAAATCATCTTCACCACGTCTAGATGCCTAAATGCATTGCGTGATTGGCTGATTAGCAATTTGTGTTACCAAGCAATTGAACAGGTGTACTTAATAAAGAGGCCAGTGAGTGTATATTGTTGGTAAAGGCCTGGGAGGGTCAAATATCCCACTGTCCCTTTGTCTAGTCCTTCTCTGATAACTATATCACTTTCTACATATTAACTCCATGATATGTATGAATTACAGTATTCAATTGTTACTGACTTACCTGGATGGCAATTGTGGAGGTGCATAGGTTTCCTGCTTCTGAGCATATCCTGATTCATATCTCTGCATCGTGGAGTACAGCGGTTGACGTTGTCCAGTCGAGATGGAAGATGGTGTGCGTGCTGGCATATTTGCTGTCTTCCACTGTGAGCTTTGCTGGCTATAGAAGCTTGAGTTATTGGTACTTCCCCTTACAGAACGGCGTTGCTGCTGTGGATTCTGGTATTGAGCATTATACACAGTCTGGCGGCGTTGGGCAGGTCTTATGCTTGGACCTGTGAGATCTGGCTCACTTCGACTGCTTTTAAGAGTTTGCATATAGCCATAGTCACTTCCTGGACTTACGGGACCTCCTACAGACATGAATTGCTGTCGACCCCAGTTGTCAAATTGACTTTGTGAGCTAAAGCGCTTGGTTTCCTTCTTTAGAGTGCCATTATACTGAGGCTGTTGATAAAAAAAAAATTATTACAAGAATTTACAAAAATGAAATAATTATTTTATTATATAATTAAAGTTTATTACATCATATTTACCTACTAATTTTTGTAATTTGTCATTACAATATTCACTACCTACTACAAATGTAAAAAAGAGATTTAGAAAGAAAGAAAGAAAGAAAGTGTAAAACCATCTATTGGAGGAAAATTAAAAGATTTAATGCACTCACGTGCAGTGGTCGAAATGCAGGCACATCAAAATAGTCTAGCCACCTCTACTGGCCCATGGTGGAGCTGTTCAAAGCTGTATGAACCCAGAATACAACCGACACATAACCCAGTAAACAGGGTCTAGTTTGCATGTGCCCGGCAGAGCCGTAGTCACTCACAGATGGGAAAGGAACCTCTAGCAGCAGAGACACACAGAATGTGGTTGGTAGGACAACATGGGGTTTATTTACTAAAGCTGGAGAGTCCAAAATCAGACTCCCTTCTGCATAGAAACCAATCAGCTTCTAACCTCAGCTTGTTCAATGAAGCTTTGGCAATGAAACCTGGAAGCTGATTGGTTTCTATGCAGAAGGGAGTCTGATTTTGGACTCTCCAGCTTTAGTAAATAAACCCCCATGTGTCGGAGGTATGTTCTTCTTTCTCAGGTCCCTTGAGACACGTTCTGTGTGTCTCTTCCTCTCCTGCTAGAGGTTCCTTCCCGTCTGTGAGTGATGCCGGTACGTGCGTACTGGACCCTGCTTGCTTGGTTGTGTGTCGGAGGTGTTCCAGGTTCAAACAGCTTTGAGCCTGACAGCTTGCATGTGCCTTCATATCAATCACTACATGTGAATGCATTTAATCTTTTACATTTTCCTTCTTTCTTTCTTTTCTTTCTTTCTTTCTTTCTTTCTTTCTTTCTTTCTTTCCTTTGTGCTGATCTAGATGTGCTCCTGCTCCATGGACGGACTGAGAGCTGAGGCAGGTACACTTAACCCTTGAGGCAGTGATGTACTCTTAATACTACCAGATGATGCACGTGAATCAGTGCATGATGTAAATTTTGTTTTAGTTTGCTGTGATTATGTAAGAACCACTTTTTCTACAAAGAATTGATATTTATCATAAGATTGTTTTTTTCTAATATTTATTTTTGCCATTTATACATTCCCCTTCGTTTGCATTTATAATACATGGTTTATATTACTTTGACATAACATTGATAACCATTACACTGCAGGGTTTGTTCACTAAGAAAGTTCACAGTGCACTGATAAGTAAGCTGTAGCAACCAATTACAATTCACTTCTAAACTAAACCGACAGCAGGACTATGGAATTTGATTGGTTGGTATACTGTATAATGCTGCCAGGCAAAATTCAGTTGGTTGAAACAAAACATAAACCAGAACCATGCCTGGTGCCTTTTTATAGTAAGAAATCAGAGTGTGCAGAAGAAAAATCATGTATTCCTTGTTGGAATTTTCCCATCATAATTTAATAAGTGTAAGAAGCCCAATCCAAGTGAAGAAGGCTGTAAAATGTAAATCTCTGAGGAATGTCATGTTTT